CAGCAGTGTCCCATTGGCTTCTCTCAGTGCTAATACTCAGCTGCCTTTGAGACAGACGTTAGTCAAATCCTGTTCCTCTTCCGAGCGCCCCATTAAAAGGGCTGGGAAGAGCTTTCCATCACTTCTGACACAACCTATTATTTTTTCCAACCCCTCTCTCAGAGGCAGAATGGACATCAAGGAGTATTTTGCCCGAATTTCTTACCTGGGTCCCTACAATAAGCCAGACCTGCGTACTCTGACAGATATATTGCAGCACCACATCCGAGCTGTCCCTTTTGAAAACCTCAGCATCCACTGTGGGGAAAGGATTGAGCTGGACCTGGAAGCAACCTACAACAAGATAGTGAGGAAGAAACGTGGGGGTTGGTGCATGGAAAACAATAACCTTTTGTCTTGGGTCCTGAAAACTCTTGGCTATGACATCACCCTTCTGGGAGCCAACGTTTACGTCCCGGAGCGCGACGCCTACCCAGAGGAAATCAATCATCTTCTCCTGAAAGTGGTGCTTGATGGCAAATCCTACATCGTGGATGGGGGGTTTGGGATTGCCTACCAGATGTGGCAGCCAATGGAGCTGATTTCAGGGACAGATCAGCCGCAGACTCCTGGGGTCTTCCGCTTCCTGGAGGAGGGGGGGACCTGGTACTTCGAGAAGATGAAAAGAAAGCAGTTGATTCCCAACCAAGATGCCTCCGCTTCCCATAGAGTGGAAGGTGAAGCTTGCCGCCGGATTTACCTCTTTACCCTTCAGCCACGAGACATTGAAGAGTTCAGAGGCTGCAATGCCCTCCTGCAGACAGCACCCGACTCGCCCTTCACGACCAAGTCCCTGTGCAGCCTGCAGACTGTCGACGGCGTCCGGGCACTGGTGGGGTGGAAACTCACTGAGATGAAGTTCAATTATAGGGACAATATGGACCTTGTGGAAATCAGAATGCTTGCAGACGAAGAAATTGAGAAAACGCTGAAAGAGAAATTCAATATAACGCTAGACAAGAAACTTGTACCCGTCAATTCAAAAAGGTCTCTGTTCTAACTCACTGCCTGAATTATAATTCAATTCAGGGGCACTACAGGCAATTCTTCCCCCTCTTTCTGACAAGCATCTGAAGGTTAAGCTTTTCCCTTCCATCTACACCAGTGTAAGGCAGAACACACTAACACGAATCTCCAAAAGAAATGGATTTTCACAACTATTCCTCCATCTCTTTTTGGTTTGGGTCCAAATAATTCCTTCCTAGCTCAATCAAATCACTGTCCTCTGTTTGTGCTTAGCAGGGAGCACACTCTGCCCATTCCCTACTCCTTTCATCTCTTAAAAGCTTCTTTAAACACACCCAGAGTAGCTGGGCAGAGCGATGGAACTGTATGTCTCTCTCTTTATTACCTGGTGCTGCCACCTGGGGAAAATCATATCCACCTCTTAAATGAACACTGTATTACTTTTGGGAATTTAATAGCCAGGAAAACAAAGACATCCTGTGCTGCGTTTGCTCCAACATCCTGTGCTGAGTTTGCTCCACAAGCCTGTCCTGTTTGCTCCTGCATCCACAACACCCTCTCACGTGGCAGTCAGAGGGTACCACACCTGTGCTGCACTGTGAGAGTACTTAAGGACAGGTTATTTATGGCCCTAAAACAGATGATAAGAAATATTAGTGACAGTTCTTTACATGGCTCCTGTTCTCTCGGTGACATAACCAAAAAGCAGTATTTCTTTGAACTGTAAGCAGTTGCTGAGCATTTTGTTTGCTACCAGCCAGCAGCAGATTGCTGGGAATCCACGTTCCCCCCATCACTCTGAATGTTATTGCACATTAATTATTATGGCTGAACCCCAAAACAGGCACTGAATTATTTTTCTGAAACATATCTGTTCTACTGAGGATGTGTTTGCAGCGATACAAATTATATTGATATAAGGAGAAACGATGAATCTTAATCACATACCTAAAGGCTAAGATTTTGAGTAGGAGAAATTACTCAAATGTGATCACTTCGCCCTCTGAGAAGATACTTGATGTTCCTTCATGTACAAATCTTGGAAGCATTACAACTATGCACTTATAATTTAGTAAATTATATAAGTGATTTACAGTTAAATAATAATAAAAAAAAAAATCAAGCATTGTGTGGTAGAATTATTCAGACGTTTCCCCCCCCTCAAATTACAGTGTGTATTCCCAAAGTAAAAAATGTCATTAATCACTGCAGTTGTCCTGATTATTTTTATGTGCTAATATTTTGCAGCTAAGGCTTTTAAAAACACAGTAACTCACCGAACCATTTTTCACTTGGTATGCAGTACATGCAGCTTTCTATAACTAGGAATTTATGGGGAATAAAAGCTGCTGCTATTCTGCATGTTCAAAGTGTACTTCATAGAGACACAGTGAGCTCCCCAAATCCCTGTCTTCCCAGAATCAAACTCATCTATATGTGTGTGGCTGTGGGTGTGCAATAGTTCTTTATAGCACATGAGGCTCTCCCACCCCCCAGGGAAATGAAATGTTAATGACATCCTTTAGTGGATTGCAGGGGAAAAGGGGGTTTCTAATGGTGTGGACCAGCAGCTCGCAAAACAGATGATCAGAAGAAATTGTCCCAGGATATGGCTTGTTTGTGGTCTGTGTCTTTCTGTGGTCCCCACAAGAATGGAAGAGCTAAAGGAGCTGAACTCAGTAGGTTTGTCCTTGTAGCAGCCTGGCAGCTGGGGCAAAGCACTGGGATGAAGGTAAAAGTCCAAGTCTTGCAAAGTTGGAGGCAGGAGAAGATCCATGCAGAGCCAAGAAGCTCTATCCTTTGTGGGGGCAGACATAGGGAACACCTAGAAGGGGCTGTGCCTACTCCTCTCCCTGTGCCTGGGTGTTTCTTGCTCTTTGTACCGTTCCACAAGCTCAGGGCAAGGAGGACAGAACCATAAAATCATAGACCTTTAAGATCAGAGTAGGGCGTTACATCCATTGCCCCAGAGATTCGGCATGTGAAGGCCAGTAACAGGGAAAAACGCTTTTCTTTCTGCTGACACATCTCCTGGACTGTGTGCCCTGGCCACTGCCAGGGCTGCTGCCCCTCCATGGCACAGCTCAGCACTCCTGGCCCCTGCTCAGCACACCCACAGAGGCAGATTTTATTGCTGAGCAACCAAATGAAACTTGCTGTTGGAAGGGAAAAAAAAAAAAAAAGAGGCTCTTCATCTCCAATTGCATTGGTTGTTTTTTCCTTGTCAATAACTTTGGAGGCAAATCCTTAAAGGCACAGCAGGCTCAGGGAGCACAGAGTTCTGTGGGAGCAATGTCCCTGCTGCTGGAGAACAGGGCTTCTTTGTGAACCCAAGGGGATTTAAACAGCTACGTGACTTGGCAAATCCGACCTTGTTGCTTTGGGGAGGGCTGGTATCAGCCAGGAGGAATATTAATTATAAATATTAATCAGGAGTCTGATTAATTCAACAGCTGCCATTCCCATCAATGAAACAGTGACTTCCTGCCTTGGATAACTCTCCATCACAAGTCACTTCCTACAGGAATCCAGACCACATGAGTAGCAACACTATAAAATCTGTATCAAAATTTGCACTGTTTCTTTGCTGCTTTAGCACACATCAAGGTGCCCCTGGGTGACCTGCAGCGTCAGGGATGGGTTTATAGGTTATAACCACTTACAAAAGTTGGTCATGATACCCATACTGCTTTTTTCCTTTGTACTTCTGCAGGGCTTCAGTTCCCATTCAGTAATGTGGAAGGCTAAAATCTTCTCAATATTAAAAGCAATTTGGGGACTGGATCATTTTCAGGCTCTCTGTCATGACAGGGCTTTCTACATGTACGCCAATGCCAACAAACCAATAAACCAACTAGAATATAAATTATTATAAAAGAAGAAACTCTCTCACCTATTTTTCTGCCGTGCTATAGGATAACGCTGTCCCTGACAGGCTGTAAAGGCAGCCTGGACCTTTAAGAGCAGCAGTTCCCAGTGCAGCTCTTCCTGGGAGCTTGGGAGCAAACAAGGAAAGCCTGAGCTGACTGCCTGAGAGGTAAGCGCTGTGCCTGATCTTTAACTTCATCCTGCAGCCTTGGGTCAGCCCAGAAGTTCAGTTTGGGAAAGCCCACCCCTCTGGGTCTGCATACCATGTGCTCAGCACTGTAGGCATATTAGCAAAGCATAAATTACAGGAACACAGGGGCCAACAGCGTGTGTTGTGTGGCAAGGGTGTTTTCCAAGTACAGCAAATTGTTTGAGAGTTAAACTAACCCCTTTATGCTGAGCCACAGTGTATGAAAAACGCAGCCACTGACTCACAGCGTGACTTAAAATCAAACAGATAGCACAGGCATGTGCAAGCGGATCCAGCCTTGGAAGTCCCTCGTGATTTTTAGCAGAAAAGAACTGTTCCTAATACTCACCCCAATTATGGAAGGACACAGTGATCCCTAGGGCTCCTTCAGATAGGCAGAACTAATGTCTGAATCTCACTATCCACCAAGCTGCACGATTGCTGAGTGAAGCTCAGCTGCTGCAGGAGCAGAAGTAAACAAGGCTGAACTGAGGCTTGGGATATTTGGCAACTCAGTTTTGGAACGCAAACTGTCCCCTGGGCGAGGGCTTGCTCGCTGCTGCAGCCTCATCAGTGGGAATGGTTGTGCCAAGAAAAAAATCTGCGCTCGGGAAGGCGAGGGAGTAAACACTGATTTATGTGGGTGCTCCCTCATGCCAATGATGTTGTAGTGCAGCTTTGTTACACTTACACCTCTTTAAGTATTCATGGAGATCAAGAGCACATTTTGTCAGCCACCAAAGGCTGGCTCTGATACAGGCTTTACACTGACAAGGGAAGAGGCAGCTGGGGAAACTGAGGCATGTTCCCAAAGTATGTTTTCCCAAGGCCTTATTGCCAGTCCCCCATGGAGGTTCTCCATGGGGAGGTTGCTCTTGGATGGAAGGGGGGAACTGAGAGCAGTGGGAACACCCAGACCCAGGAGATGGGTTACCGGGAGGGCATCAGGTCTTCTGCTGCTGGTCCAGGGCAGGGACTCATCAGGTTTTTGCCTGAAGGCAAATTTCAATTGTGCCACACCCACCAGGCTAATGGACTCTCCCGGAGCCCTCCTGGTCACAGAGGTTCGGCTCAACATCGTCACAGGGAAAAGATGTTTCTATCTTGCCACGCGAAATTGCTAAAAGTGGGAATAGAAAGGAAAATAAACCAGAGGACCAGAGGATGAGCCTGCCAGCATACACGTGCACTGTGTATTGGGGAGGGAATGGCTTCCTACAAGTGTTTCCAAGGAGATCCTGCCAGAGATGAGTGCCCTTGTCCTAAAAAAGGGATGGAAGAAAAAACATAAAATGCAGTATCAAAGAGACATTACTGTTTTTTCATGTAGCCTCCTCGGGTCCTTTTGAAGTGAAAATGTTTGTTTCTTATTCCCTGATCGGGGTAGTCCTCTATTCTATCACATTTTCCTGTGGCTTTGCATCAGCCAGTCTGAATCCTGGTACCGGTGCAGATCAGGAGCAATACAACTAAGCCCTGTAAGTTGTGCTGGTGGCATCAAGGTTGGGGTTAAAGCCTAGAGATCAGGTCATCTGATGTGCTCACCTGCTGGGGCGGGGGTGTTTCCACTCATGGATTTGAGGTGGGATTTTCACAAGCCCCCAGCACTCCCTTGAATGCTGGCATGGGCACAGGGTCAAACTGCTGGGGGGGAGCAGCTGGACCAAAGCTGAGAATAGTCACCAGAAGGGAGACTCTCACATCTCATCCACACCAAATGATTTTTGGAAAATCTTCCCAGGGACTTTGAGCAAGAAATCTCAGACTTTCTTTTAGAAATTACCATGGTCCTTAGCAGATTGTGAATTGTTCTGGAAAACAAAACTCCTTCCACAGAAAAAAGCCAAATTAAATCTAAACTCAAGGCAAAAGAAAGCCTTGCAGAGACCAGATGAGTAAGTGAATTAGAAGTGTTACGGGGAGCCTTTTGCATCTTGACCACGCAGCCAGTACCAGTGACAGTGTCTTCCTGATGATGAAAGGAAATGGGAACAAAGACCTAAAGACACAAAATATTTCCAATAATTCGAGCTGAGAGAGAAGGTTTTTGTTTGTACAAGATGGTAAAAAAACCCCAAAAGATGATGAATACACCTTGTATGTATTCTTAGTAATTACCAGTTCTTCTGATCCTTAGGTTAGAAAAATTAACAGTTCCTTCCTTTCACAGGCCAAAGCCCTGTCTAAACTCCACAGGGAAATTTAGGTGATTAAGAAAACAACAATCTACTTCACATGGAAGCCTGTCTAAAATGGTGACACACTGAGATGTTAATCCCAGTTAAATGAAGCCATGAATGTAAAACCTTCTGGTTAAATTACCTGTGGGATAAAGAAAGAATTGCTTACCTGGTAAAAGAAACAGTAGGAACTTGCTGCGACTTTTATGCTGGTGTAGTCTAACAGCTTTTCTGAAAGCCTGTTGTTTGCCAGTTCTAGAAAATTTTTGTCATGTGGGATCCTCATCTGTGGCCAGAGACTCTGTTATGGTGTGTGCTGTGTCTTGCCATAGGAAAGATGTACATCTGGTTTGAAGGCAACACCTGAGAGAGGGAAAGCATTATTGTCACCAGCTCCTATCCCTGTGTCTCTTTGAAGAAACACAAATGCCACAGGCAGGTCTAGCCTGCATTTGTTTCCTGTCAGGGGCAAAAGTTTCTTCCACATCCTCAATAAAATGGCCCGAGCTATGTTTGCAGGCTGCTTGACCTGTGTAACAGAAAGAGGAGGAAAGCCCTTGACAGCTGCACAGCAGTAACTGGCTGTTCTTCTGCTCACACAGGCAAAATGAACATCCAAGAGTATTTCGGAAGAATATCTTACAACAAGCCCCATAAGGATGCAGACTTGCAAACCTTAACAGCCATCTTCCAGCATCACATCCAGGCAATTCCTTTTGAGAACCTCAGCATGCATTGCGGGGAGAGCATCGAACTGGACTTGCAGACCACTTACGATAAGATTGTGCGAAAGAAACGTGGTGGATGGTGCCTGGAAACCAACCACCTCTTATTTTGGGCCTTGCAAGGATTAGGGTATGACATCTGCATTCTTGGTGGGAATAGTTATGAACCAGCAGAGAGGGCATACACTGCTGAGATGAACCATATCCTGCTGAAGGTGGTGATCCAGGGAAATTCCTACATAGTAGATGCCGGTTTTGGTGGTGCCTACCAGATGTGGCAGCCACTGAGGCTGATTTCTGGGAAGGATCAACCCCAGGTCCCTGGAATCTTCCGCTTCACGGAAGACAACGGTACCTGGTACTTTGAGAAAGTCAAAAGGAAGCATTACATTCCTGAGCAAAGTGAGACTCCCCACTTCACTGACACTCCAGGAGTGGGGAACATCAGAAAAATATACAGATTCACTCTTGAGCCACGACACATAAATGACTTTCAGGAGTTAAACACGTACCTCCAAGTGTCTCCAGATAACATACTTCAGAAGAAGTCAATCTGCAGTCTCCAGACCACGGAAGGGCTCATTGCCTTGGTTGGATGGACCTTGACTGAGGTGAAGTATAACTACACAGAGGACACGGACCTGATGCGCATCACAACTCTTACAGACGAAGAGCTTGAGAAGACCCTGAAGGATAAATTCAATATAGTGCTGGAGAACAAACTTGTACCAGTAAATGTTCGTGGCTTGCCACCTAATTTAGTGGATAAGATCTAATTCTAGCACTGTGCTGGATGGATCTGTAAGTATCCAACAGAAAAGTTCTAAAAGTAACATTAATTACATTAATTGAGTCTGAAGTTGAACTAGACACAAAGCTTCGTAAACTTAAGTGCCTTGCTAGTTAAATGCATATACCATTTGCATAATTTTTCTTAAGCTTCTCCCTCTTTGGAAACTAAGCCATCTTACCACCTCT